CCAGTAGCAGCACCTCCAGGCTCGGCACCCCCGCGCACAGCACCCCCAGAGTCAGCACCCCCAGGCTCAGCACCCGCAGCAGCACCAGAGTCACCAGTAACCTCGACCGGGTCAACTGCGTCTACCTGGGACACACCTGAGGGGGCAGGAACCTGAGGGGGGAGGGGGTCTACCGGGGGGGGAACTGGCACAAGGAAGTCCGGCGGAGGGGGGAGGGAAGGAGTGCGGTAGGGGAAGAGGCGGTAGAAGGGGACTGACTCGTCGAACGTGACGTCCTTGGAGGACAGAACACTACGAGAGGAGGGGTGGTAAAACTGCCACCCGGGAGCGTCTGTGGGGAAGCCAAGGAAGACAGAGGGAGCAGCACGAGGGGACAGCTTGTCCGCAGACAAGTCGCGGACAAACGCCCGAGATCCCCAGACACGGAACGCCGACGCATCGCCAACCTTCCCTGTCCACAGCAAAGCTGGGGAGGTCTCCGGTCGGGAGACTCTGGGCTGAAGGTTGATCTGATGCGCGGCGTACCGAACCGCAAACGGCCACAGAAAATGGGGGGCAGCCGCATGCACCATGGACGTACGGGCGACGTCCATGACAATGCCGATGCGGCGCTCAGCAATCCCATTCTGCTGTGGAGAGTCCGGAAGCGTGAAGGTCTGGCGGATGCCTCGTGCCTGACAGTAGGCTCGCAGAAGGCCGGAGGAGAACTCTCCGCCTCTGTCCGAATGCAGACGCAGAACAGGAAAGTCCGAGCCGAAGCTCCGCCTGAGCTGGAGACGAGCTGCGCGGATCCAGTCAATCAACACCTCAGTGACCTCACCCTTGCTGCGCAAGGGGAAGACTGTGGTGTAACGCGAGTAGTCGTCAACCACCAGCAGGAAGTAGCGCTCGTGACCCTGTCCACGGACGCGGGCTGGGCCCCACACGTCCATGTGAAGCGTCTGCATCGGGGCCTCCGTCGGAGGGAACGGGGAGGAGTGAAGGGTAGCCCGCAGCCGACCCTCGACACAGGGGACACAGGGAGGGCCAGGCCCCGGAGGAAGGGGAGGGAGGGACCGGGGAAGGCCAGAGACAAGAAGGCGAGAGGCCATGCCCCGGAGACGAGGCAGGGAGGGGTGACCCATCCTGTGGTGCCACAGGAGGGTCTCGTGGGACAGGAGGCGACACGAGCAAGGGGCAGACTCAGGACCAGACCTGGACGCTGCAGCAAACACCTGACCCGACGCAGCTACCTGACCAGACGCAGGAGAAGGAGACAGAACAGTGAGTGTGTACAGGCTCGACCCTGGACCACGTGTGAATGTGGTCAGGTGTCGACCCGTGTCCGCGTCCGTGCAGTGGGTGACTCGTCGGCGCGCAGGGGTGAACTGGTCAACCCCTGCATCCTGTAGGTCAGCACCCGCCACCAAGTTCGTAGAGAACGAGGGGAGGTAGAGACCGGACAGGGCGCCAGACGGGACCGCAGGGCACGGCAGGACAGTGGAGTAGCGAGCCAGAACAGGACCCCCGGAGGGGTCTGCCAAGGAGACCGCCACTGGCCGACTAAGCGGCGTGAGTGTGGTGCGGTCTCGAAAGAAGGAGCGAGACGCCCCGGAGTCAAGAGTGAAAGTGAGAGAGGGTGAAGTCGACACAGTATCTGAGAGAGCAGACTCACCAGCACCTGAGGACTCAGACTCACTGGCACCTAGAGCAACAGCCTCACCAGCACCTGGAGCAGCAGCCTCAACAGCACCTAGAGCCGCAGTACCAATGCCCGGGTCGGGCGGGAAACACCGGTAACAGTCACCCTCCTCACTAATAGTCACAGCATACATAGCAGCAAGAATAGCATCAAAGTCAAGATCAAAGATAGCTACTCCAGCCCTAGACAGCTGGTCCCAGCGAGGGATCTCAGAGGCGTCAGGAAACTGGCGGCGCCAAGCGTCAGTCAGGCGGCCGAAGCAACGCTGGGCGGAGTGTGGACCACCACACTGCTCACCCGCACGGTCGCCAGTGCGCAGGACGTAAGTGCACGGACCAGTACCCCCACCTTGCTGACGCGCAGAGTACCACTCACGGAGCTGCTGCGGGGAGAGGGTCTCATGACCACGCTGCTGCTGCTGGCGCTGACCACCACCGGAGCCACTCCTCCTCGGCGCGCCACGACCTCCGCCGCCTCCTCCGCCGCCGCCGCCACCACCTCCACCGCCACCGCCACTCCCACCGTCGCCGCCGCCACCGCCGCCTCCGCCTCCACCCCCACTACCACCGCCGCTGCCGCCCCCGCCTCCACTGCCTCCGCCGACACCTCCACTCCCGCCACTACTCCCGCTACCACCCTCACCTCCGCCGCTGCCTCTACCTCCGCCTCCACCGCCCCCGCCGCCTCCACCACCGCCCCTGCCCCCCTTGCTCTTTCCAGAGCGACGTCTCCCGCTGGGGGCAGACGCCGCTCCGACCGACTCAAAACCAACAAGGTCGGCCGTAGCAGCAGAGGCGACAGAGGGCAGGAGGGGGGAGGGGGAACACCCCTCAAAGATGGGGGTGCGCGGGTCACCACGAGAGGCCCCTACAGCGAGAATGCTCTTCTCGGCTGCGAGGAGGGACTTCTCGAGGATCTCGACAGTGAGAGTGGTGGGGCAGACTGCGAGTAGGTCGTCCCTGACTCCGCGAAGGGAGTCAGGGAGGCGGGTGACAATGTAGTAGAGAGTGAAGTACTGGGGGGGGGGGTTCTTGGCGCAGAACTCAGCAGGAAGTGCAGCGCGGAAGCGAGCGTCACTAGTGCGCAGGTGGGTAATGAGGTCGGCGACTGTGGCAAAAGCAGCAAGGTCGGGAAAGAGGTACGGTAGCATGAGGCGGCTCAGTGCAGCAGTGGCAAGGGTGGAGTAGCGTGCGATAACGGCGTCGTACAAGGTCTTAGCACTCTTGTACGACCCAAAGTGCGCACGCTCAGCGGGAGGGAGGTGGCGACGCACAGCAAGACGTGCAGCAGCATCGCGTGTGGCCCACTGTGAGCGAACAGTGGCATCCTCTGTAGCAGCAGGGGCGGGAGAGGCACCAGAAGTGAGATCAAAGAGAGAGAGTCCGTCAGCTCTGTCGCACTGTAGGAAAAGCAGTAGGTTGTCTACCCACACGTCAAAGTCAATGGCTCTGCCCTCAGCGTCAAAGGCGAGGACACTGGGGGTAGCCATGACAGCAGTAGAGAGAGGGCAGTGCGCAGAGTAAAGCTCAGTGCTCACCAGACAGGGCAGTGCAGGGAGGGCTCGGTCGGCCCGGGCGGCTCGACTGCTGGGCGGCTCGGGCGACTCGGCGGCTCGGGCGGCTCGGGCGGCAGTGCAGCTGGGGCGGCTCGGCTGCTGGGGCGGCTCGGCTGCTGGGGCGGCTCGGCTGCTGAGGCGGCTCGGCGGCTGGGGCGGCTCGGCTGCTGGGGCGGCTCTGCTGCTGGGGCGGCTCAGCCGGGAGATGCAGGGGCGGGGCCGTCAAATGAAGCGGCGGGCCGCTGGGTGCAGCGGCGGGCCGTAGGGTGCAGCGGCGGGCCGGCAGGTGAAGCGGCGGGCCGCTGGGTGCAGCGGCGGGCCGTAGGGTGCAGCGGCGGGCCGGCAGGTGAAGCGGCGGGCCGCTGGGTGCAGCGGCGGGCCGTAGGGTGCAGCGGCGGGCCGGCAGGCCCAGCGGCGGGGCCGTCAGGTGAGGCGGCGGGCCGTAGGGTGCAGCGGCGGGCCGTAGGGTGCAGCGGCGGGCCGGCAGGTGCAGCGGCGGGGCCGTCAGGGCCGCGTCAGAGCCGGCGGCGGGGCCGCGTCAGTGGAGGCGGCGGGGCCGCGTCAAGCAAGCGGCGGGGCCGCGACGTAGCGGGCGGCAGGGCCGCGTCAGAGCCGGCGGCGGGGCCGCGTCAGTGGAGGCGGCGGGGCCGCGTCAAGCAGGCGGCGGGGCCGCGATCAGGAGGGGCAGCGGGGCCGCGAGGGAAATGGCGACCCGAGGGGTCGCTAAAAAAAATGCGCGCCTCGGGGCGCGCTTCGGTGGGCCCTAAAAAAAATGGTCCTTAGGAAGGACCCGCTCTATACCATGTGAAACAAGTGAACAGGAATGAAATGACTAAGGAAAGATTGGGTACAAATACAACCCTAGAAACCCTGTACCCCATATGTGCTACCCCACTATAGCCTACAGCAACTATGTCATATAAATCTGACATGAGGAGGGGGACAGATGCACACGATTTCATGAGCCACCCTCAAGGAAGATGTACGGAAACTTGAAGTGAGCGTTCCTATCTGTCGAGATGGACAGAAAGTATTCGCGCCACATCAACTTGTTTCCCAATCGCGTGCTGACATTTTCCAGAGCCATAATCTCGTCTTTCACCAGATGCTTCTTAACCACGTTTCTCTTTCTGGACCAAACCTTCCTCCGCTTGATACCCTCGTATGTTTCACTTCGAGGCTAAAAGCAATCACCACTTTCCGCATCATTTTCCTGCACTTGAACCTTTTCCCCCTTGAGACCGCATTGCAGTGCTCCACCCAGATCTGGTGGAACAAAATCGCCGATGTCGTTAATTCTGGGAAGCCAGATGACGTGCCCCCTCGCTGGAACATCAGGTCACCGAGCGATTTTATCCCCCTTGTCAGGTTGAGCCAACGGATGGTCTTGATCAGCGCATGCACCACAAGTTGAATGACACGGCAGGAGAAGAGAGCATGATCCACCCCCGCCTCTCCACAGTGCGGGCATTTAAAACGCTCCCCCAGGAAGAGCAACCGGTCCTCCATTTGAAGATTGGAGCAGTGGGCTCGCAGCAATACGTCACGCGCCTTTGCGGGGATTGCGTGTGAGTCTCTGCGCGCAATCGTTCTCTGCCAGTGGATCCGCTTCTCCCGGCACCTCTCCCACTTTTCCTGCCGTGAGAGTTGCCCAGAGTGATCCAGCTCTTCCTCCAACTCCGTCCGCAGCTGCTTCAGGGAAGCGGCGCTGCTCCCCACGCACAAGTCCGTTCCCATGAGTCTGACATGGGGAGTAACGTGTTCTCATGCCACCTCATCCCCTAACATCGCCAGCAGAGTAGCATCCCATACTGGTAGCAAAGAAACTCTTGCTCCCTCTGGCGTGTACCAGGACACCCCGTCAGCACGGCGCCGCATCTTTACGCACCATAACGCACTCCCCGACGCCTTGACTATCCACCACATCTGCACCCCTCGACCAGCGGCGCAAACCACCTTAATCGCCTCTAGCATCTCCTCCTCGCTAAGCGTTTTCAGAACCTGATTTTTCCACTTTGCAAGAATTGCCTCGAAGACTTCCGCCGCCAATGCCGCTGCTTGCTTGGAGCCCAGTAGCCGCTCCAGCTGCACCGGCGTTTTGGGGCTTCGTGTGCTTTCCACCCATTTCATCACCAGGTCGCCAACTGTGATGTCCCAGAGGCACTCCGACCCCTTCCGCCTCCCGAAAGGACAGCTTCCCTCGCGTAGGATGTGACGGTTGAACACCACTCGTTCCTTCTCCACATCCCGTCTGCTCTTGCATGGCAAGTTTCGGGCTATGGGGGACTCCATTACCACCACCGCAATCGCCTTCCAACGCTCGCTACCCCCATCCCACATTTTCAGCAGGCCCTCATGCGCATAGAAAGAGGTGTAACCTGTTATAGTCAAGAGTCCACTTAGATGTCGCGGATGCCCATGAAACCGCCTAAGCAGAATCTGACGTCTTCAAACCGCCTCTGTTCAAAACGCCGTCACGATCAGCTCCAATAACACATGAAACTGAAACTTGGACAGCAGTTAGCCTTAAGTGTCTGCTTTCCAACGGTGTATTGCTTGCTTTCACCAGAGTTGTATGCGCTACGCTGTGAACGAAAACGTAAGCTCGGCTGAAAAACGTGTATTCTCATTGATGCAAGGAAGAGGTGAGGTACAACATTGCCTAGGGGACTCTTAAGGGGTTGGGATCATCCTGGGAACTCAGAGAAGGTTGAGTCCTAGGGGAGAAAGGCTAGAGAAGGATGGGAAACGTCCTAGCTAGGTCAGCAAAGCCAACCACACATGGATGTTCAGAGCTGTACTCAAGGCAACCAATTGTGAGTTAAGCCAACCATGAGTCAGCTTGTCTTCCCACTTGCACCCTCTTGCAAGCTGGTTCCAGGAAGACCACACTTCTCAAAAGGAGGGCTGTAGATTCCCACTTGACCACCTGTACTTCTTGTCTCGTTCTCTGTCCCTGCACCATTGGCATGACAACAATGAAAGGGTGGCAAGGGAAATGCTGCCAACAGTGCACCATGACTACAGAACAGTGAATATCGGCAGCTGTCACGCAATGCTCAGATGTTGGATCGTTCTGAAACTTGGTGACCACCTGCACAGCGGGGCAAAGGACTGGCAGACCGAGTTTCAGACCAATCAAAGCTCGGTAGACGAGTCAGCAGCCGAAATGGTGAACTCGGGTGTTACCAAAAAGGAGTAACACACACTTCCGGGATGCCATAAGTCTTGAAACATAAAATGTTGTCATGCCTTGCTAACTGCTTCAAAATCTCTGAAACTTTGAGGGTTTGAAGAAAACATGTTGAAAAACCTCCCCACAAAATTCCAGAAGCTGAGCAGTCTTGTGGGCTGAATGGGAGTGCGATGACCGTGCTACTGTAATGTGTTGGCACAACATAACCGAGGGGGAGGCGTGCTGCCCACCCTGCCAACGTTCTTCTCTGGGGGGACTGCTCCATGAGGAGCTCCCTGGCCGACTGGAGGGCTTCTACATTGAGCCTGTTCCAGAGATTGATCACCCCCAGCCTGCCCTCACTTCTCCGCATCTGCATAAGCTCTGCACTCCAGAGAATGAAACCGGGCTCAGTACTCGCTCTGCCTCCTGATACAAAGGCATGACACAGCCGTCGTAGCTCCTCCCACGACGCGTCCGAAGGTGGGTACACTTGCGCTTGGAAGAGTGCAATGGGCATGATCTATGAGTTGATTACTGACATTTGTGTTGTCATACTAAGATACTTCTCCTCCCACTTCTTGAGTTCTGCTTCCATCCTGCGCAGCGCCCTTCTCCATAAGGGCTGTAAATCTGGCCGGTTGGGTACCAAGCAAGCAACCTGCAAATGTACCACCCGCCTGATTTTGGGACCCAACCATGCAAATAGTATTTCGGGTAGACCCAACAGTCACAGCATCAATATTACTGGCCAACCTTCGATGGAAAAGTTTCTTGCACCAGTCACATCGAGTCTTGCCAGTGCAACTTGCCCGCAATGTTTTTGTTAACCCCCCGGTTGCGCACCAGGTTGGTACGTTGCGGGTTGGTTGCCTCGACCTGGTTGTATCTGGTCGCGACCAACCGGTTGGTAGACTGCCCGGTCGCCTCGACCAAGTGCGTGAGGGCCTTGATACACACGACCTGTACTGTACACTGTACACTCTAGGGTAATCTAGTAACCCTACATTCAACCCAAACTGACTGTTCGAGGCAACCGCGACCAGGCCCCCAAATAAGGGGTATGTAACACGCTCTAAGCAGCGTCTCGGCCCTATTGAGCTGCTCCCGCCCCTTCAGCAGAAGAGTTGTGTCATCCGCATAGCCAAGGTAAGACAGCTTTCCTGCGTCCGCAATGTCCACTCCTAATTGCCTCCACTGTGCTTCTTGGCAGAGGGGCTCCACCGCACAGAAGAAAAGATATGGCGCAAGCGGGCAGCCCTGCCTCACTCCAGTTTGCACCGGCACCTCCTCTCCCAGCCAGCCGTCATTGCAGATGCGCTTTGCCACCCTCTGATGCAGCCCTTCCACCCACTTCACATATGCCCTTGGGAAGCCCATCTTTCCCAAGACCTCAAACAGGTAGTCCCTCGAGACAGAATCAAATGCTTTCCTGAAATCGACCAGGAGGAGGAGCCAATCTTTCTGCATGGAGTTCGCCGCGTCGATCGCATCTGCCGCAATCGCCACCGCTCCCGCAAGGCTCCTACTGGGTAAGAATCCAAACGGCCCCGTGGATACCACTTTCTCCAGCCTGTGCTTTATCCTGATTGCCAGAATTTTTGCAATGATCTTGTACGCCGTGCTCAGCAAATTAATCGGGCGATAGTTCTGCAGGTCCTCTTTATCCCCCTTCTTGTGGACGAGCACCGTCACGGCCATCGAGAATTCTGCCGCAAGTGATGCCGTCCGCTCAAAGTCCTTCAAGAACTTCATCACATGACCACCCAGTAAACTCCACTGCGACCCCCAGAACTCCTTCGGCAGCCCATCTATCCCCGGCGTTTTACCCGACACCATTTCCGCAAGCGCCTGCTTAACCTCCTCCTCCTCCCACCGCGCACTGCGCGCGGCTGCATCTTTCGGTGAGAACTGCCTATCCATTTTGAAGTCCAGCGACAGAGCTCCCGGCCGTGACTTGTCGTCAAACAGGTCCGCATAGAAACTTGCTGCCACTTTCAGGGCCTCTTTCGACCCCACGAAATGCTGACCCCGAAAGTTCACCGCCTCTAGCCTTGTCTTAGCCTTTCTTGCTTTAACCTTCGCCAATAGGAATCCCGTGGGTGCTTCACTGTTCATCTCCACCTTGATCCCTGCTTGCTCTTGCAGCTTTTGCTGTCTCCCGTCGTCGTATGCCTTGAGCTTGGCCTCGTATTTCACCAGCCTCGCCTTCGCCCTCGTGCACCAGGGTTTGCTCATCACCTTCTGCCTTAGCTCCCCCTCCTCTCTTTCCAGATGTGTCGTTGTGGCTGCAACGCGCTTCCTTTCTTCTACGGTGTACGCCTTAAGCCCAACCTTCAGAGAGTTCGTCAGAGCCTCTAAGTCCCCACCCTGCTCCTCATGATTCCGTATAATAGATGACACCTGCCTTTGCACACCAGGTCTTGGCACTCGTGATGCAGGGAGCCTCCACAGCCCAGGGCCAGTTTCCCCATCACCCCCGGCACTAAGCTGAATGCGAACTGCAAACCAATGGTCAGTAAAGTTCTTGACCAGCCCCACATGCCTCACTTCATGGATCAGGTGCAGGAGCAACTGTGACACCAGAATGCGCTCAATCCGTGTGCTTTCTCGCACAGCAGCCACGAAAAAGGTGTACTCCCAAAGATAAGGTTGGACTGCCCTTAAAGCATCTCGAACATCAAATCTGCCGTAGAGAGCCATCAGCCTGTCATTCTCCCCCCTTGTCCCAACACCTGATGTTTTGTGTAATGTCGGATCTTTTACTTTGTTCAGGTCCCCTGCAAGCATCAAGTGGCTTCCGCTTGGAATCGCCGCTATGAACGGCTGAAGCACGTCTCTGAAGAAAGGCCCCCTCGCCGTTGGATTTGAAGGGAAGTCTGTAAGAGTCACCTCCCTTTTGAGCGAGACGATCGCCACCCCACCCGCTCTAGCAGCAGGTGGGACCGCAACCACGGACTGAGCTTGTATGCGCAACCAAAAACTATGATCCTCCGGGATTCAAGTGTCTGTAAGGATGCTGATTTGTGCTGCTTGTTTTAGCCAGTCGTAAGTGTCCTGCTGTTTTTGCAAGATGCCAAGACCGTTAACATTCAATGCGCTGAGAGAGAGTGTGGTGTGTTTACCCATCTGGAAACTGTGAGAGGTTCCTAAGCATCCATGGGCCGGAGGTAAGGCTACTGCTGGTGACTGAAAACATTGTGAATATACACTGCGACATTACGGAGACTGCTACAATGCTCATTAGGTACCACGGTAACACACTCCACATCCCCTCCCATGCTGCCATCACTTTGCTTTCGGCCCTTCCACGCGGAAACCGAACGCCTTCTTCACCGCATGCAGGGCCTGCTTTGCCTTGCCTGCACAAGTTGCCACCCGTGCCGCTCCCACCACATATGCATGACGGAAGGAACTTATATGTGTGATCGCCTGCTCGAAGGTCTCTCCGTGGGCATGGTCGCAACAATCCTGAACACACAACCACTCCTCCGTGCTAGACCCCGTCGAGATCAGCACCGCCGGGTCCTGAAGGATCCTCCTGACCCGCCCTACCACCTAGAGGGAGGCCGCTGCAGGACACACGCATCACATCACCGTCAGTACGCAAGAAGGTAAGAATGGCACTGTAGCATGACCCCCACTGTACGGCGAAAACCCCGACCTCGTTACCATTAAGCACATGGACCCTGCCTAGTGACAAGTTCCACTTGGCGATGTTGTTTTGCCGCTCAGACACATACTCATCATGCAACTTATCCATATGATGTCCCTAGCAGAAGCTGCGGGACAGAGACGGAAACCGCACGAGGTACTTCTTTTCGACAAGCGGGTCCTCCAACACTTGACGCCAGCGGTACGTGTCCCAAGGATGCAGGACCACCACCCCGCGGATCTTGTCGGTGCCTAGACCCGTCATAGGGTCCATCACGCGGTGGAAAATAGCACCATGCAGAAATGCCGACATCCAACGCTTCTGCAGCTTATGTGTCAAACTCATATGCTGCATATTGTGTAGGCTGTAGTGGGGTAGCCCATTAGGGGTACAACCCAATTAGGTTTTCCTACTTGTACTCCTGCATGCTACTAGTTCATTCATTCTCGTTCGTACTGCTGACATGGTTTCAGAGCAGGTCCTAGCCTAGGACCGATTTTTTTTTAGGGCCCACCGAATCGCGCTACCCCACCGAGTCGCGCTGCCCTGTTAGTGCTGCGCTGCCTTGCCCTGCCCTCCGTCGCGCTGCCCGCGCACGCCCTGCCTTGCCCTTCCCGCGCGCGCCGATTGCTGCTAGCCACCGTGCGCCCGGCCCTGCCCGCGCGCCGCCCGTCCGCCACGCACCCTGCCCTGCCCGCGCGCCGCCCGTCCGCCGCGCGGCCTGCCCTGCCCGCGTGCCGCCGGTCCAATGCGCGCCCTGCCTTGCCCGCGCGTCGCCCGTCGCTGCTCGCCCTGCCCTGCCTGCGCGCAACCCGCCGACCGCGTGCCCTGCCCTGCTCGTGCACGTCCTGCTTTGCCCGCGCGCAGCCCGCCGTCGTGCGTCCCGCTCTGCCCGCGCGCCGCCCGCCAGCCGCGTGCCCTTCCCTGCCCGCGCGTCGCCCGCTGCCATGCGCCCTGTCCTGCCTGCGCACCGCCCGCCAGCCGCGCGCCCTGCCCTGCCCGCGCGCAGCCCGCCAGCCACGCGCCCTGCCTTGCCTGCACACCGCCCGCCAGCCGCGCGCCCTGCCCTGCCTGCACGCAGCCCGCCAGCCGCGTGCCCTGCCCTCCCTGCGCGCAGCGCGCCAGCTGCGCGCCCTGCCCTACCTGCGCGCCGCACGCCAGCCGCGCGCCCTGCCCTGCCCACTCGCAGCCCGCCAGCCGCGCGCCCTGCCTTGCCCGCGCGCAGCCCGCCAGCCGCGCGCCCTGCTCTGTTCGCGCGCCACCTGCTGCTGCGCGCCCTGCTCTGCCCGCGCGCCGCCTGCTGCCGTGCGCCCTATCCTACTAACGTGACGCCACCAGCTGCGCGCCCTACCCTGCCCTGCATAAGCTGCCATGCTGCTACCGCGCTCGCCTGCTCTGCTGCTATGGCGACTCTCAGCGTCCTCACCTTCGACCTGGAGGTCCGCCCGATAGAGTTCGGTTCCTGGCATGATGACTTACAGCTGTACTTACTGAGCGACTCTCAGGACGGAATTTTGTTGTTTGACATCACGTCTAGCGCCTCGCCCATCCCTGCCGCCACAGCTGACAGTACGACTCGCTCACAGTGGCTTACCCGTGACGCTGCTGCTCGCCTAGCCGTTTGCAACCACCTGTCGTTAGCCGAACGTGCCCACTTTGGCTAGCAGAAGACCTCTAAAACCCTGTATGACGCTGTAGTCGCTCGTTACTCCTCCCCAGCCACTGCTGCTCTAGGCAGCCTTCAACTGCCCTACCTCTTCCCCGAGCTGTCCGCCTTTGCCACAGGCGCTAACCTAGTCACCCACCTTTGCACTACTGACGTCCCGCCAAGTTTCTCGCCAAGAACCCTCCTCCCATATACATCACTCTCTAGTTCCTAGTCACGCGCCTCTCTGACTCTCTTAGCGCTGTCAAGGACCTTCTTCTCGCCCTTGACCCCACAGATCTCACTGTCGACCTACTCGAATAGCACCTCCTTGCACCTGAGACTAGCATAGTCGCTGTAGGCGCTTCTCGTGGCACTCCTCGCACTCCCTTCTTTGAGGGGTGTTCGCCCTCCCCCCTTCTACCCTCAGTCGCCTCTGCTGCAGCTGTTGACTACCTTCATGCTGAGGAGGTAGGAGCAGCGTCTGCCCCTAGTGGGAGGCGTCGTGGCGGTAGAGGCAGGGGAGGCAGGGGCGGTGGGGGGGCCAAAGGTGGAGGCAGTGGTGGGAGCGGTGGAGGCGGTAGAGGGGGCGGCGGTGGCGGAGGGAGTGGTGGTGAGGGTGGAGGTGTAGGTGGCGGCAGTGGTGGCGGCAGTGGCAGTAGTGGTGGTGGCAGTGGTGTCGGTAGTGGGAGTGGAGGCGGTGGCAGTGGTGGCGGCCGGGGTGGTACCAGTCAGAGGGGAGGCCTTGGTAGTGGTCAGAGGCAGCAGCAGCAGAGAAGCTACGTGAGTGGTTTGCTCAGTGTGGGGCGGCTGGGGGTAGTGGTCCCTGCTCGTATGTCATTAGCACATGTGACCGCACTGGTCAGGCACGCGGGAAGCTCCACACCGAGTACTGGTGCTTCTCTCGTCTTACCGATGCCTTCCGCATAGATTTTCTAGACGCGGCTAAGCTCCCCCGCTAGGCACAGCTGCTTAGGCAGGGTGTAGATATCTTTACTCTTGATTATGATGCTATCCTTTCTGCCATGTATGCATTGACTGTTAGTGCTGAGGGTGATTGCTACCTGTGTATGCCGCCAGACCCAGGTATAGAGGCTGGTGCTCAAGGTGCTATTGAGTCTGCTGCTCTAGGTGCTGGTGAGTCTGCTCTCTCTGGTACTGTGTCTGTTGCGGCCTTGCACACCTTCACGCTTGACTCAGGTGCTTCCCGCTGTTTCTTTCGTGGTAGTACCACATTCACACCGCTCTCTGCACCTGTTGCTGTCTCTTTGGCTGACCCCTCCGAGGGCCCAGTCCTTGCACGTTCCTCCACTGTTCTGCCTTGTCCGGCGGTTCCGTCTGGCTCACTGTCAAGTCTCCACCTCCCCTCATTTTCTACGAACTTGGTGAGCAACGCAGTCCTTCAGGATCAGTGAGTTGATACGTTCACCCGTCGGCCTGGGTCGAGTCTGTACACACTGACTACTGCGCCTCCTCAGGTAGTTGCGTCTACGTCAGTTCAGCTTGCGACCCCTTGCTCGTGTCGCGCCCTATCGCACCAGACGCTCCTTTGGCACCACCGCCTTGGTCACCCCTCCCTACCACGCCTCCGTGGCTTGCACTCCCGTCTCCTTGTCTCTGGTCTTCCCAGGTCCCTGCCTCCCCTCCCACCCTCGCCTGCCCCTCCTTGTCTTCCCTGTGTTGAGGGGCGGCAGCGCGCCGCTCCTCGCTCCTCCTCGTTCCCCCCGACGACTGCACCCCTGCAGACTCTCCACATGGACGTGTAGGGCCCAGCCCGCATCCGTGGACAGGGCCGCGAGTGCTACTTTCTGCTGGTTGTCAACGACTACACGAGTTACACCACGGTCTTCCCCTTGCGCAGCAAGGGGGAGGTCCCTGATGTTTTGATCCCTTGGATTCGCGTTGTTTGCCTCCAGCTCCGCGAGCGGTTCGAGACGGACCTTCCGCGGACAAGCTCTCCGCCCGTGCAGTTCCCTATGTCCTCCTTGGTTTTCCCCCTGACACGCCTGGTTGGCAGTTTTACCACCCCACCTCGCGCTGTATTCTGTCCGCTCAGGACGTCACGTTTGACGAGTCGGTTCCCTTTTACCGTCTCTTCCCCTACCGCACTGCCCCTCTCCCACCCCCTCCGCCCCTCTTCCTCGCACCAGGACCTCCTCTTGTAGACCCCCTACCCCCTCAGGGTCCTGCTCCCTCATGTGTGTCCCAGGTAGATCCTATCGAGCCTATCAAGGTAGCTATCGACTCTGGTGCTGCTAAGGGTGCTGCGTTTGGGGGGGCTGAGCCTGTAGGTGCGGGGCCTGGGAGGGTTGAGCCTGAAAGTGCTGAGCTTGGGGGTGCTGAGTCTGCGGTTGCTGAGTTTGGGGGTGCGAAGCCTGGGGGTGCTGAGCCTGCGCGTGCGGAGCCTAGGGGTGCTGAGCCTGGGGGTGCTGAGCCTGGGAGTGCTGAGCCTGAGGGTGCTGAGCTAGGGGGTGCTGAGCCCGTGGGTGCTGGGCTTGGGGGTGCGGAGCCTGGGGGTGTTGAGCCTGGGGCAGCTGAGCCAGGGCGTGCTGAGCCTGGAGGTCCTTTCGGTGTCTCTTCACGTTGGGAGCCTCTCTCTCCACTGCAGCTGCGCGAGTGGTTTGCTCAGCGCTGGAGCCTCCGGAGTGGCGTTGCTGGAGCTGAGGGGCCTGCCGCTGGAGGCCCAGGAGCTAGAGGAGCTACATGCGTTGGAGATGGAGCTGGAGGAGTTCTTGGAGCTGGAGCTGCTGGAGGTGCAGGAGCAGTTCGTTTCGGAGGTGCTCGTACTGTAGGTACTAAGGCTGCTGGAGCTGGAGGTGCTATTGGAGCTGGAGCTGCTGCAGGTGATGGAGCCGCTGTTCAAGGAGGTGCTCGTATTGTAGGTACTGGAGATGTGGAGCTAGGGGTGCTACTGGAGCTGGAGCTGCTGGCGGTGCTGCATCCGCTAGTCCCGGAGGTGCTTGTACTGGAGGTGCTACCGGAGTTGGAGCTGCCGGAGCTGCTGGAGCTGGAGGTCCTGGAGTTGCTGGAACTTGTGGTACTGCAGGCGTTGGAGCTGGAGACCCTGGAGCTGGTTCTGGAGGTGCTGTGCGGCCGCGACCGTACTTCGTTCCACTACTTTAGCAGGTTCTTGGTCTCCCGCCTTCCATTGACCCTACTACTCCCTTACTGTGTCCACCACCTGACCAGTCGCACTTACAGTTACAGCCAGCAGCCCCAGTGCCTGCTCCTTCTGCATACACTAATCGAACAGGAGGTCATACAGAGCGTCGTGAGCCTGCGTCTCATCCTGCGTCACCTGTTCGAGCTATCCCCACTAGTCGTCGTGTTTCGCGTGAGCGTCCTCCTCCTTTCCGCGACACGCACCAGATGGCACTTCGTCCTTCCTCTGTTCCACTGCGTGTCCCTCTGCCGTCTCCTACGTCCTCCCTTGCTGGCAGTTCGGAACCAGAGTCTGGCTTACTTAATGCTGCCAGCCCTACTTTCACGCGGCTACTAGCTACTGTTGTCACTGACCCCCTTCGTTTGAGTCCACTGTTGCGTCGGCCCTAGTTGCTAAGCTTGTTGGCATTGCTGCTGCATGTCGTCTTGACTACGCTGCTAGTCTAATTGCTGATTCTGAGTCTGT